GTAATGAAATGTCAACACTGCCATCACAGGAATAAATTACATTTTAAAACAATGTAAAATAAATGCAACCCTGTTGCACATAAGAGATTTAAAATTTGTAATAACTACCCACCAATAGTTTGAACACTAGTGTATATTTTGAAAACCACCAAAAGAAATTCCTTGTTCCCTTGTGTAAAATTCGAGTAAATAAGAGTAAGTAAGTAAGTAAAAAAATAAGAGTCTCTGGGACTGTCATTCCAATTAGGATCTCTGGATGAAAATGGAGTGTTAACTCTCTGGGTATGTCTGCATTTCACCAGCAACTTTATTTCACAGAAACCTTCTTTCATTTAGTACTGTGTTTTTGTAACGAGATTATTTAGATGAAGTTGTATATTTTGTCTTTGACAGGTTGTGGTTGAGCTGCCCAAAGGAAATGATTCTGGTTCTCAAACAGACCTAGGTAAGATTTTTCTTTTTTTCTGTAAAGCTGCTTTGAACAATCTGTAAAAGTAAAAACGCTGAATTGTGAATTGAGTTGAACTCATCCTTGCTGAAATGCACATCTATTAGACATGTCTCATTTTAATAATGCTGCATCTGCCTTGGTAGGTCTTAGGCCAGGTGGTAAAGTTAAACTACTCCACAGCTCCTCTCTACAGACCACTGAGAAACCTTCTCAAGATATTTTAATGGGATTTGGACCTCCTGTGAGCCTTCAGTTAAAAGTTCCTCCCGTCTGACTCAAACCATTACTTCATTGGTACTAACATGGTGGGTGTTGCAGGAAATTGTTGAAAATTGTCTTTAATCTTGGTCTTAAAATGTTTCTTGAAGTGTTTCCTTATTTTCTTTTATTATTGAAGGGTTTTGGTTAGACATGGTACTAGGCACAGCCTAAAAGTTCTTCCAAAGTTCTACAGATCACAGTTTGATAGCTGTAGACTGGTGGATGTCACAGCACTTGACTTCAGTCCTTCCGGGGATCCCTTGTTCTTGGTAGGAGCAGCTTCTATTGCTTTTTACTGTATGTGTAATTATGTATTTCTGTGTTCATAGATATCTGTTATTAGTGATGAAAGTGTTCTTTTTCTCCCAGTCTTTACAGGTTCTAGCTGAAATTTAGAATGGGAACATTATATTCACCCTTTTAATTCCTTTCTTTAGGTTGGCTGCAGTGATGGAACAGTCCGATTGCACTGTCCTGAGAGAAGATCCGTTGATGGAATGGTCTGGATGTTCCAGTGGCGCTTCCATTCTGTCAGTGCAGTGGTCTCAGACACGGCCAGCTGTGTTCTGTGTTCTGGATGCTACCTCTGATCTTCACATCTGGGACCTGACTGAAGGATTATGTGCCAGCTGTCACTGAGAATATACACAAAGACCGGTAAAAAGCTAATACATCAAATATTAGATCTTTTTTAATACGATAGAAAAAAGTTCAGTTAGTGCAATACAGTAAGATAATATGTCAGATACTGTATGTAATTACTGTGGTAAGGCATGTACCTCAGGCACTTAACTGTTTTTACAATCCTCTCTTTCCGAACTATTTTTCACAGGGTGACAGCCATGGCAGTGTTTGGTGAGCCAGCCAAACAGAACACATTTTCTGGCATTGCGCTCGCCAAGCAGTCCGGCAAAGTGGAGATTCAGTATTTTAAGGAGTCACTTACAGTGCCTAGCACCTATGACAAAGAAAAACTTCAGTCTTTTTTGCACAATGCTTTTTTGATATGAGATGGATTCTCATCCAAATCAAGCAAAGGTCTGTCTGAGCCCAGATTCAAATGAATTTCCAGTTAAATCCATAATATGCAAATGACAGAGGAAAACACAAAAGAGACATTAGAGAAAGTCATGCATAGTATGGGCAGACCTAGTGAATTATATTTCCTTGTTACAGGTACCCAATGCTACATTAAAGGGATAGTTCACCCAAAAATGAAAATGTGATGTTTATCTGCTTGCCCCCAGGGCATCCAAGATGTAGGTGACATTGTTTCTTCAGTAGAACACAAACGAAGATTTTTAACTCAAACCGTTGCAGTCTGTCAGTCTTATAATGGAAGTGAATGGGAATCACGGCTTTGAGAGTAAAAAAAATATACACAAACAAAACCAAATTAATCCCTGTGGCTCGTGACGATACATTTATGTGTAAAGACACGAAACGATCGGTCTGTGCAAGAAACTGAACAGTATTTATATCGTTTTTCCAATTCTGCTGTTCTTAGTGTTGCGTTGTTGTCGACTGTGTTGTGACTTGACTATGTATTCTTCAAAGAGTTTTCTTTTGGACGTTTCCCCGACTCAAGAGTTGAGACAAGGTTAATATGTCACGTGACGTACACAAGCAACACGTAGCCTTTCAGATTGTATAAAAACACTAGGTTAGGAGTGGGAGCTAACATTTGTAATTTTTGTTTTGATAGATAGCGTAGAGTATGGCATTGATATGCTGAAGAATTTCTTTTCTTTTCATTTGATTAGATTAGAATTGAGGTTGGTTTAAGTTAGTTGGTGTTTTGTTTTATTAATTTCTTTGATTTAGGCTCCGCTCTTGTCTCACTCTTAAGTTGATTATTTTGGTGTTTGAGTATATTATTTGTAAATGAGTTTTCTTATCATTTGAACTTCTGTTTTCACTGTAAATTTTTGTAGAGCAATTGGTGGTTTGGTGAAAACCTTTAACTAAAAGTTTATCCATTCATTCTGTGTTCTAGTTTGTTTATTACTTCACACAATTCATTTTCTGGTAACAAACGATTCTCTTATTTTTTAATCATTCCTTTTATTCATTTATTACTGTGTTACTTTCCTATACTTCTGGACGCCAATAACCTTAACAACTATTAAGGAGACGTAACAGATGCACTGCAATGTCTGAACTGTCCTGAGTGCATCCTCGACAGCCGGCGCGTGACGCGTCTTCTTTATGCATTATTCTTCTGCATTACCGCCACCTATCTTTCAAATGGACCATTGACACTCCTAATTAAGATTGTAGATAGAGTGTCAATGGTCCATTTGAGAGATAGGTGGCGGTAATGCACTTATAAGTCTGCGATCCACCGTAAAGCAAGAAGAAGAAAAAGACTCCTAACGTGCCGGCTGTCGAGGACGCGCTCAGGACCAGTGTTGCCAATTTAGCTACTTTGTAGCTAGATTTAGCAAGTACTGCTCACTGCAGAGCCAAATGACCTCCAGCTCCCCCCATTTGGCTCTGCAGCGAGCACCCTCTCACTGTAGAACAGCAGTTTACAATATGACTTCCCCGCCCCTTTTGAGACTGTTTTAAAAAGTTTAGGGACAAATATAGCAACTGCTTGGACAAACCTTATCTAAGATTTAGTGACTTCCACGCCCCTTTTGAGACTGTTTTAAAAAGTTTAGGGACAAATATAGCAACTGCTTGGACAAACCTTATCTAAGATTTAGTGACTTCCCCGCCCCTTTTGAGACTGTTTTAAAAAGTTTAGGGACAAATATAGCAACTGCTTGGACAAACCTTATCTAAGTTCTCATCTTGCCCACTGATCTACGTTCATCTTTATATAGATCAGTGAATTTGCCATTGTGATGTCATCTAGTGACATTTAGCTACCAGTTTTAGCTACTTTCAATTGAAAGCAGTTGGCAACACTGCTCAGGACAGTTCAGACAGTTCAGACATTGCAGTGCATCAGAGGTAAAAAACAATATAAATACTGTTCAGTTTCTTGCACAGACCGATCATTTTGTGTCTTTACACATCAATGTATCGTCACGAGCCGCAGGGATTAATTTGGTTTTGTTTGTGTATGTTTTTTTTACTCTCAAAAGCCGTGATGTTACTCAAAAAACTTTGACGTTAGCTAGAACCTGATGGTTTTGTTGCTGTACGCAGCATTTTGTAAGGTTCGATCAAACACTAAAGGGAGCACATGAATATGAGCTTTCTGTTCCTCAGGGATATAAAGACATTATATCCATTTTGTATTATTTTACAATATGTACAGATGAATATTTACACTGAGTAGCATTTGAACTGGAGTATATTTTTTATTTAGGGTCCCTATCATTTCTTCACTATCAAGTCTACTGTCATACTATAATTATTAATGGATATTTTTATTAAAAGACTATTACATTTAAACTGTGTTTTCTCTCGTTCTCACACCTGTATTGTTGGTAGAGGGGTGTTCTTCACTATTAGAAACTGCAAACTGTACTGTACACGGAGGACCATCACTCTCACTAAGGACCTAGTTGTCATCTTTTGGACTTGGACACCATTTTCATCTAGATCGGATTCCAATCGGATATGCACAAAATCGGATTTGGGTTGACAGTCTGAAAGAGGCTTTAGTCTGTCTCTTGAGGTCAACTGCATTTTCACACATTCTCTTCTGTAAAATATTATTATTTGTCGTCGTTACCATGGCGATTAAACCAGCGCTATTTCGTCTTCAATCATTATTTTTTACATAAGTAGTTAAAATAGAACTTTAATACTAAAATGAAACAGCATAGTAAAGTTTGTCACAACATATAAAACATGATATCAATAGAGATAAATATATTTCTAGGTACATGGCACGCGTAAGTTTAAACCTGAAATCCTTTAAAATCTTTTTGCATGGCAACGTTTAATATTAATAAGAGAAAGGAAAAAATGTGCTTTGCATAAACTTGTACTGTAGATGTTGATGAGGACCAGTACGAGTTGAATGGACAATAATCTGATGTCTGTCGTTTTCTCCATGGTAACTGTTGCCAACGGCTCTATTCAGACGACTCTGTTAACGACCTTCAGCTCTTTCAGCGTCAACCCGAATAGACAGATTTTTAATAACAGAGCCACAAGTTACAAATGAGATAACTGCCACGAGCAAACAAAACATAGCATGATGACCTTTGAGTAGTAGCTACATAAACTAGAGCTACATACAAGTCAAAGAATAAAAAAATCATTTGATCCCGCAACAACAAATGAATCAGAGGAGGCTTCCCAATCCGTGAGGTGACATGGTGAAATGAAGACGGTTAAAGAAGAGATGGAGACCTCACAGGTTGAGTCTCTAAAAAGTTCATCACCTGAACGAACAAATGGTGAAAAAAACGGTCAAACCTGGACGGAGAACATCGATGAAGTAAGGGAATGTCTAGTATGCTTTAGCTCAAATTACTTGACTGTCACATGAAAAATGTATTTTGTCACGCATATGCATTAATATAGTATAATTTATTATATTATGTGTATATCTAACATAATAATGCGTTAATAAGTACTATAATGAGTTAACAGAGAGCCGGAAATCACCTGCCATTCATTTCTTTCTTTTCCTTCCCCCTCTTCCCACCTTTTTCCTTGGACCTACTCCATCACCTTTTACTTTCACTCTGTCGAACATTCTGCCTCTGTTCAGATGAATTATGGGAATGTTAGCCCCAGCATTCTCACCCATGGCCTTTGTCATGTCCTCCACCTCTCCTGTGAAGAGACTGTTCGTCACGTGACCTGTGGTGAAGGTGCCGCAGGCTTCGCTAGTCTTCACAGTGGCAGTCATGTGCAGTTCTATTATCCCGATGGCCGTCTAAGAGATTCGTCTTTTTGTCAATCCCTCACCATCCGTTATGCCGGCCTCACCTCCACACATCTGCCAGGCAGACTGGTTGGCTGGGGACCTGGGGCCGTTCTCACCGTACTAGATGCAGAACTGAATCCTCTGGTTCATGCTGTGGAGCCCATGGATGTGAGGGTGTGCAAGGTGTGGCTTTAACGAAAACTTTTCAAACCATAGTTGATGAAATTAAACTTGGAATATTTTTTTTTAGTTAAATGAAATGTTGACAGCGTATACAGTATATGTGGTTCTCAACCAGGGGGATGGGCCCCTATGGAAGCATATGGGTAGCAAAATTCATTTTGAAATGTAATATGGAAAATGGCAATGTATTTCTGTATTTAAATTTACATTTTCCCATACATATGTGCAACATGTAGTGCAAAATTAAAATTCAATTATATAATTTACATTTGCCATTTTCTACACTAGTTTTAATATGTAAATTAAAAACGTATTTTAACGCTTTATAAGTTGCAAAATTTAAATGAAATTGTATTACCCAAATTGATTAGATATTTTTAACATGTCCAAGCAAAAACTGTAGCAAAATTATAATTTAAATGCCATTTTCCTAAATGCATTTAGACTTACGGGTAGGACACTTGAGATTGCATTTTCATCATGATACCGTGTGATAATTGTAGCAAAATGCAGTGTGATTTTTTTCAAATGCATTCTGAGCCAAATGTGTAGCAAAATGGTGATTTAAATGTCTTTTATTTTTCTTAAATGCATTGACACTTACACTTAAGACGTTTCAATTGCATTTTCATTAAATACCCCGTGATAATGTAGTTTAAGGCAATGTGGATTTGAAAATGCATTCCGAGCCGATCACGCCCCCAACCTGTCAATCATTATATCAAGGCGGGTCTCGACAACAAGACGCACAATAGGTCAATATTCCCCATTAACCAAATGCTTTTCACCTGCCTCAACATATGCTTCCATAGGGGCCCACTAGGGAGCAATATGACTAAAATGAAAATACATCTGCTTCCAGCTGATTCCATTGTATTGTTTGTTCATACAAGATATCTTCTTGTATGTTCCACAGAAGCAAAAGTCATAGGCCTTATAGGTCTGGAACAACATGAGAGTAAATTATGACAAAATTTTCTTTTCTGGCTAGACTATGCATTTAAAATGTTTTAGTTTCAATTAAGAGAGAATTAAGATATTTAATTTGATTTAAATTTTATTCAATTCATTCCCAAACTTCTTTAATTCTACAATTTGATGATTGAAATTATAATGATTTTAGTTATTTCTAACTTATTGTAATTTTGAACACTTCTAATTTCTGTAATTTAAAAAAGGGGGTGTTTGTGTTGTTGTGGGATTATTGTTGTTGACATGATTTTGGGGGGTCCTTGGAGTCAAAAAGGTTGAGAACCACTGGTGAAGACATCAAGTTTGATGCATCATTGGATCACTGGAACTTGTACTGAAAGTGAATTAAAGAGACATTTTTTCATCTGTCTGTGTCACAGATTTTGGAGCACTCTAATGAGCTTGTCACAGCTGGAAAGGGAAACGTATGTGTGTGGTGCCTCACACACTTGGTGTGTCGCAAACGGGTGGTGGAGGGTTTGGGGAGACAAGTTGTTTTCACACATCTAGCACTGATGACTAGCAGGACTGAGCAGGGCCTCAGAGCACTGGCTGCATATGGACAAGCTGTGGTTGTGGTGGACCTTACAGAGGGATGCATTATTGAGCACAAGAAGAACCTCCATCTAAGGTTTGTTTTTAATGTTTTGTATTAATTCAGCCATTTGCAGCTATTAAGGCCTGTTTACAAGGATTGAGTTTATGCTAAGCTATGGAGTAAATATCAAACCCAACATTTTTTTCTACTCTCTCCTCTCTCTTTCTTGTTGAAAACATTAATAATCCAACCAGTAACATTTATTATTACATTTTAGCAATTAATGAAAGTGCAGACTGAATCCAAATACATAGGCATTTATTCTTGGACCATTCTATTTTCTGATTGATTATAGAGTCCTGCGGTGATAATGTATTTTTGTAGGCCAACCTGAAAGTTAGCATCACCCTGGTTCCCTTAACAAAAACCCAATAGGATTTTTCTACTGGCTTTTGAATTATTGCAGAAAATAAGCTCTGTGACCAGCAAATGTTTATGACTCTTACACATTTTGTTCATTATGATAATCTTCACAAATGAACAACTTCACAACTTTTATGAATTTTGAAGCCTAAATACAATTACCAGAAGTGAAATGTAAACTGTAGGCTTTAAATGCACTACGCCATGGTCGCATGATTTCAACCTCACCACCGTTAAGCTTTCAAGTTTCAGCAATTCAATATCTTGTGCTTGCATCAAACAGAGACCTTATTTTAGGCATTTAACCAAAAACCAAAATGGATTACTCATATAATTTACTTAAATATGTCATCCCTGCTGCACTATATTGCCTGAAAAATTATTGTTTGCTTTATTGTCAAGGTATCCGGTTCGTTTCATTGGCTTGCCAAGGGAGTAACATACATGCACTCAGCTAGCTGGGAAAAAATTGTGATTAAATGGGTTAACTGAAATGGATGTTTATGTAAAATCTTTACTTTTGTTCTATTAAATCAATCTCTTTTTTTAGGGAAATCACAGGGATGGTCTACTGTCCACTTAGGGATATTGTAGTTACTGCATCAGATATGACAATCCGAGTGTGGGGACCAGACTGGGAACTTCAAATGGCCTTTGTGGGACATACTGGTCAGAAAATTAACTTCACTGTTAATAACGTTTCAAAGTATGAGTGATGAGTGTCAGTATTTGTAACTGCATTGTTGAAATTATATTAAGTATCAACAATGTAAACCAGAAGCACTTAAGACCTTTGTCAGTTCACAACAGTATTTCAGTGACAATAGAGTCTACTATCATTATGAGTGTGTGTTTTTGTGTCCTTTCTCCAGCTCTTGTCACTTCTCTAGTTCTGTGTCCTGTCTCTGGCCTGTTGTTGTCATCTTCTCTTGATGGTACTTTGAGATGCTGGAGACCAGAAGTTGGAGACCAGGTCCAGGCTATATCCATTCCTAATGGGTGCCCACCTCCTCTAGTCATGGGAGGCCCAGATAGTGCTGGCACCTTCTTCTCATACTCCACCAACAGTGTGGACTTCTGGACCTTCAACTGCCTCTACAATCTACACTGCAGACTAGATGGGGTCCTGAGAGGTCCTGTCCACCAAATCTTGACCCCACCAACCCCCCCTTCCTTCCGTGCCTGTGTAGTTTGTATCCATGGAAACAGCTATGTCACAGTTGTTGCGGCAGAAACGGGTGAAGTGCTTACTAGATTCCAAGCCAATGGAAGAGTAAGGTGTGCTGATTACTGTGTACCTAAAGAGATCTTACTGGTCCTCACTGAGGATGGAGTGGTAACTATTGCTAGTACATTGACCAGTCCGGTAACAATACTGGATGAGTGGCATGGGATAGAGCATTGGGATTGGTCAGGTGGGCAGATGCAAGCAAATATTGGCATAGTTTGCGGCATGGTCTTATATAATGATGTTAAAGATATACAAATTGAACAGGAAGAATGGAGATCCTTACAGATGCAGAGATCACACAAGCCAAAGAAGATAAAACATCTACATGATGCAAAAAACAGGTTCGTATTTGTGGTCATAAGAGGTCTTTCAAAGTTATTTTTCTCAACTTTTATTATTTCTTAATTTTTTCTTTTAAGTAAAGTAAGACACATCCTAAGCTTGTGTGTCCCTCACAGGTTTCTGGTTATACTGGGCCATTGTGGTGGTTGTGTGTCTGTGCTTAATATGCATTCAGGCAAAATCCAGTTCAGAACTTCTGCTCACAACAACCAAAACATCAGCAGCATGCAGGCATACCCCAACAGTGGCTACCTGCTGACTGCAGGTGCACACACACTCTACTACATCATCACACTGCATTCAAACTGACTTTCTGCTGATGATAATCTTGATGGCTTTATATTGCAGGTGAAGATAAAGCTTTGCTGGTTTGGCGTGTGTTCCCATGTGCTCAGCAGTGTTTGAGTCTCCATTTCAGCGTGTTGTGTGATCTGCCTCCGGTTTTGATGGCACTGATGGGAACCCAACTCAGCCTCGCCTTACAAGATCCTGAGAATGATACTTATAGCCTGGTGCAATATAGCTTAGAGAGCCAAAGCAGATCTGACCAGCAACCCAATGAAAAGCATCACAACAAAATCACAGGTTAGAGACAGTAAACTCTACTTTAGTAGATATCTAATATTACAAAATAGCTTATAATGTACTTTCACATAAACAAAAGCAAGCAAACACACTCAATATGCCAGTTTCCCAAAAAGTGTATACAGATTTTAATTTGTGCTGATTTTAATAAAAATAAATAAATTAACCAAAATGTATCGGATAAAAAATCCTGAATAAAAATTCTTATAAATTTTCATAAAAATCTTAAAGCTGCAGTCCGTAAGTTTTTTTGGTTAAAAATGATCTGAAATCAATATTTGAGGAAGTACATAGCCAGCCAGTGTTCAAAACTGTCGCCTTACTTAAGTCCGATTCACAATGGTAAGCTTATAATAAAGTTTTCTAATTTGAGTGGTACGGGTAGGTTTTCACGGGAAATTCGAGCATGGCACTGCGTCATTACGTCACATTTGGGTTAAACTCTTCTGGAACAGTGTTGTAAATACAACTTAAAGAACCACTTATTTCTAGTCGTGTCCTCTTTTGGAAGGCCAAACCAAGTAGTTTTGCTTTCACAACGAAACACGGAGTCACACACGGCGGGCTTGAGTGAGCGAGCGGCAGATTCGACGAAGGAGTGGCCGGCGGGCTTGCGGCAACCACATGTGACGACTCCGGGCTGGACTCCGCTTCGTTCACGGTGAAAGCCGATCCAGCGATCCACAGCACTAAGTTGATATATTCCCTCAGCGACCAGCACAGATCAGCTCTAGGCATGACGAAGCGGATATCGTCCTCTTTTGGAAGACCAAACAAAGTAGTTTCGCTTTCACAACGAAACACACAGCGCATTCACAACATGGCCGCGGCAACAACACTACAGCGAGAATAAAAGTTACGCCATCTTTTTTTGCGTGAACATTTGGGCGGCGTTATGCAAATCTCTCCACATAGTGACGTAGACATGTGGGGGCGTGTTAGAACGAGCCCTTTTAGGTAGGCGTGGTTGACTCTTAACTTTTATAAAGAATATCTCTTTGGATTTGAGACTTTAGTCTTTGCAACTTTACAGATCTTCTTTATGCACCAAGAGATTGTAACACTCCAAAGAGAAAGGAAAAATTGAAATCGCATCATATGACCCCTTTAATATGAAATTTGAAGAGTATGACAATTAGATTAGACTGTGCAGAAATTGAAATCTACACGCTAATACACACTATACTCATAGTCACCAATGCTGATGTTGTTAACTTTAATGTGAATAAATAATTTGAGAATAAAGTATAACAATAATAATAATCTGAACGGTTTGATGTGATATGAGCTAACCGATCTTTAGATATAATCACCATTGGTAGCGAGATTTATGGTAATGCTTTTTTCCTCAGTTGGTCAGAACAAACGTGGCAACTTGTTACTTACTTGTTCAGATGGCAATATACGGTGAAAATTCTTATTTGGGTCATATTCCAAGACGTAGGCTAGAATCTGTGATTGTGAAGTACAGTAAATATCCACACCGGTGCGGTGACTGACTGGCACACATACTCTTCAGAACATTAGATTCATCCGCGCTGGAGCCGTGCCGACTCACAACCCATGCAAGCTAGATAATTCCACACAGCTGCAATTCCAGGTTTTCAAACAGAGATGGCGACAAAGAGGCAAAACTTACGGACTGCAGCTTTAATTGTCATAAATTGATTGATTTATTTTTTTATATATATTGGGTTAAAATATGACATTGACAGGTTTCATGAGATAAAAGTATATCACACACTGACCCTCCTGAGATTGAGACAGTCTGTTTATGTTTCTCCAGGCCTCTGTGCTTGTCATCAACTGAGCATGTTTGCTTCAAGCAGTCAGGATGGCACTGTACGGATCTGGGATATGGAAAACCACCTTCTTAGGTTAGGACCTAAGTGCTACTTTTTGTTTGTAGTTGTGTATATTCTACAAAACAAAAACAAAAACTTTGATTATCATTGCATACCAGTTTTTGACTCCAAATTTTGTGTTGTTTGTTTTAGAATTCTTGAGCTGAATGCAGAGCCAGAGTGTTTGGCGTACTGTGAGAGTGGAGACCTGCTATTGGGCATCACAGGAGACCTCTATAGAATCCCCCGAACACAACTACTGCCTCTAGAATGCAGGACACAAGTACAGCTTAAAATGTTATCAGATGACATTCGGCTTATTTTAAAAGCACTTTTAATCAAACTATTTGAAGAGCTGTCAGACTCTTGATGTCTTTACCAACACTGATGTTAAAACAGTTAAGAGTAATGGCTAAATAAAAGTACTGTACTGTAGGTTTACTCCACTAAAGTTTACTCTAGAACAAAGGAGGTTCACACAATATATAGTATAGTCTGTTCACACAAAATGAATCATTCATTTTGAATGTATTCACTTTACTCACCCACATAGAAATGGTATCCAGACTCTGAATTACCCAAATCCTGGATCCCAATCATGAGCCATGAATGCAGGTAAATTTCTACTCAAATAACATAAATTCATAAACATCCACATCCTTACCCTTTGCTTTTAACTCTAGGACAGAGAGTTGCCATATTACTAAAAAGGATGGTCCTGAAAGGCAGGATAGGATAAAAGATCCAGTAAGTATCAAATATATGTAAGAGTGTGTGCTCTTACATATAGTAAGAGTGTGTAAGAGAGTCCTTCATATGTTTGTCTTAAAGGACTTTGGGGCAATTATGGCATTACATAAAGATCTGGAATCCTTGCAAAAAGGAGAGGTTGAGTGCAGAAGGAGAAAACCAGCCAACATACAATCCAAACGAGAGGCTTTCAATAATTACCTGGGTCTAATTTACAGGCAACCCCTTGATATAAGGGTATGTTTATCAACAGTCTCCACTTTTACTGTCTTTTCAGACAATATTTTCCAAATAAATCCAAATAAATGAGTTTGTGTAAATTACTGCCAATATCAAGATTTCACATCATTCTTCTAGATTCCAGAAGATATGTTTGATGTGTATGCTATACTTTTTCCACCTAAACTTCCTGAGCTTCCTCCTCTGAGCCCTCCCTCCTTCACCGACAGCTTATCCACGAGACTACATTCTCCTAAAACACAGGTGAGAGTGTGGATTAAATACATATGAGTTGTTTTATTACAAAATGATAATTTTACATACACAATATATCCATTACTAGTCTGCTGTATATGTATTACCCAATAGAGACTTTCTTTGCTTAAAAATATATAGTATTTTTCTTTGTATAGTGTGAATCACACAATAAGGTGACCAGACGTGCCACTTCCCGGGGACATGTTCTGCCCAGGATTTCTAAATTGCCTAAAATATCTAGGTTTTTGCTGTTTGCACTGCGCAGATAGATCGTTATATGACATCAAAGTACCGCCTTGTCACTCAATATAGTTTTTTTTTTCCATTACTAGTCTGCTGTATATGTATTACCCAATAGAGACTTTCTTTGCTTAAAAATATATAGTATTTTTCTTTGTATAAAGAAATCACACAATAAGGTGACCAGACGTGCCACTTCCCGGGGACATGTTCTGCCCAGGATTTCTAAATTGCCTAAAATATCTAGGTTTTTGCTGTTTGCACTGCGCAGATAGATCGTTATATGACATCAAAGTACCGCCTTGTCACTCAATATAGTTTTTTTTTTCCATGGAAAAAATAAATATATGATATGCATAGTCCTTAAAGGGATAGTTCACCCAAAAAATGAAAATTCTGTCAATTATTACTCAACCACATGTCGTTCGAAACCCGTAAGACCTTCTTTCGTCTTCGGAACACAAATTAAGATATTTTTGATGAAATCTTAGAGCTTTCTGACCCTCCATAGACAGCAAGGTTCCTACCACGATCAAGGCACAGAAATGTAGTAAGGACATCATTAAAATGGTCCATGTGACATCAGTGGCTAAACAGTGATTTTACAAAGCTATGAGAATACTTTACCGCCTTGTCACTCAATATAGTTTTTTTTTTCCATAGAAAAAAGGGATAGTCCTTAAAGGGATAGTTCACCCAAAAATGAAAATTCTGTCAATTATTACTCAACCACATGTCGTTCGAAACCCGTAAGACCTTCTTTCGTCTTCGGAACACAAATTAAGATATTTTTGATGAAATCTTAGAGCTTTCTGACCCTCCATAGACAGCAAGGTTCCTACCACGATCAAGGCACAGAAATGTAGTAAGGACATCATTAAAATGGTCCATGTGACATCAGTGGCTAAACAGTGATTTTACAAAGCTATGAGAATACTTTTTGTGCGCAAAGAAAACAAAAATAATGACTTTATTCTTGATTTCTTCTCTCGTTAATAATGGAGGAAGACTGTCCCAGAGGAGAAGAAATCGTTGAATAAAGTTATTTTTGTTTTCTTCGTGCACAAAAAATCTTAATTTGTGTTCTGAAGATGAACAAAGGTCTTACAGGTTTGGATCGACGCGAGGGTGATTAATTAATGACAGAATTTTCATTTTTTACGTGAACTATCCCTTTAAGTTCCTTAAAAATATCTTTATCAGGTTTTGAACAACATACAATTCTGGCTTTGTGTGAATGCACAGTGTGTACGCAGAGGGGAGAAATAACTGAATAAATAATGGAATGTTTTTTTCCCGCTTGTCATAAGCAGAGCGAACTAGATGAAGTGCAACGCTTGTATAATGAAGAGGAGGAGAAGAAGAAGAAGAAGAGGGAAGAGGCTCACATGCATCTCACACCCATCGTAAAGACTCCATCAACACAGAAGAGCCCTCTTCCACCTTCACCAGTGGCAGAGACACTCATATACCCTGTTCGGATGTTTTTTGTGTTTATGTTCATTCTAGTCACATGTATTTGAGTAATATGACATAAATCATGTAGGGATTGACTAAGTTGCGTAAAGGTGTGGTTACATAAGCGGAATTTTGCAGGCTATAAATCAATTCAACTTTATTTCCAGACTCAAGGTCCATTAGCAAGAAACACACAGTACAAACCAGTACAATACACATTTAAAAAGACATTTAGGGGACTGATATCTCACTTCAGTAAGCCTGGGATTTGACAACAACATAATAATATTATTATGTGAATCATCCAACCGACAAATTTATACATCAAATTTCTCATTAAAGCAGGGAATGATTGTACTCTTGCCTTACAGAATAAATCACTTGCATTTTAAGAATGGAATGCTATCACATAACCTCTTCATCTTGTACTCTCTCTTATGTTTACAGCCACAAAAACCCCTTCCACCAATAAAGAGTCCTACACCCCCTCTGACTCCACCCTCCAAGCCTGCCCCACCTTTACTCACCTCTGTCCCTCCCTCGCCCTCTTCTGCCCTACCCTCTCCCACCTCACATCTGCCAGAGTTCCTCCTGCAGTTTGTGGATGAACAGTGGTTTCAAAAGATGTTTCCTGATCTGAGTGTAAGTTGAATACAAACACAATGAGCCTATCAAAAGGACTCTTCCGTTCAGACGTACTCTTTATAAAACAGTGAAAAAAATATACACTTCTCAATCTCCTTCTAATTTATGCATCATTCTCATTTATCCTTGCATGTGTTTGCAGTGTATTTCGAGTTCTTTAAGCCCCAAGGAATTCTGCAAGCATCTGTTGAACTTCATGATGACTTGCAGCATGGCTCAGAAGAATAGCATCCTGAATGCATTACTTATGCTAATACAGCAGGAGGTGTTAGACAAAGAATCTCTCAGCACAGGACTGCTGGTTTGCCTGGAAAACTACATTTACAAAAACATGGTAAATGAAATTGTGATATTAGAATAAATCCATAAGGCATAGCTGAAAATACATGTTGGAAGCAACTTCTTTAAAGTTTGGATTTCATGTATGAATACAGAGCATATAAGATGTATGAATTCTCTGTCAACACTACAGATGAGTTTATTCAATATAAGAACAGGTATGAATATGTGTTTTGCAGTCAAGGGAGGAACAGCATTTTGTCGGTGAGCTGCTTAATGTGCTGGTGTATCTGAGTCCTGACGGTTTTAACACCATTGTGGAGCTACTTGCCATTTTGGCAAATAAAGAAGCTGATCTTAAGTAAGGAATATTGCATGTTTAACACGATACAAAATACAATGTAAATGTTTTACAGTGGCCTACTTTAGTAGCAACTGCAGAACATCCCCAGTTATTGAAAAGTTGCTTTCATGTTTGTTTTTTTAGTTTTAAAGGGGTCATTGGATGCCCATTTTCCACAAGTTGATATGATTCGTTAGGGTCTTAATGAAAAGCCTATAACATACTTTGGTTAAAATTTCTCAATGGTAGTGTAAAAAACACTTTTTACCCTGTCAAAATCAGCTCTGTTTTCAGCACGCCATTTTAGTCCATGTTGCTTTAAATGCTAATGAGCTCTGCTCACCCCACCCTTCTCTTCCGTGGGTTGATGAGCAGAGTGTAAACTTCAGCTGCGAAACTTGCTAACAAGCACGTTATTAGGAAAGGCGATTTGCAAAGATTCATAAAAAACCCTTATACTCACCACTTCTGTAGGTGAAGCTGGATCACGAATGATTCGCTGAACATAGACGCATTTAGGCAGATCGGGCATCAGCACATTCCATTCAAAAACGATAGCAACGTTAATCCTCTGCGTCTTCAGCGGCTCAGATGTCGGGAGTAAATGACGACTGCGATGTTCATTATTACATCCAACAACAAAACACCTCCATCGCTTAGGAGACATTCTTGTCTACCCCTGCACCGGAGTCGACACAATGACGGACAGCTCACTCAGGGCGGGTCTAAGGTAAAACACCAGTGTCAATCAACTATCGTGGGAGTGGCCTACGCAGAACTACATCATTCAGACAGGAATCTCAGAACGAGGTGGTCCTCACTGCAGAACACAAGATCCAGGGGGCGTGGTTGGATCCAGATCCAACTCCTCCCACCTTACATATACCTAAACAATATGACATAAATCATGTAGGGATTGACTAAGTTGCGTAAAGGTGTGGTTACATAAGCGGAATTTTGCAGGCTATAAATCAATTCAACTTTATTTCCAGACTCAAGGTCCATTAGCAAGAAACACACAGTACAAACCAGTACAATACACATTTAAAAAGACATTTAGGGGACTGATATCTCACTTCAGTAAGCCTGGGATTTGACAACAACATAATAATATTATTATGTGAATCATCCAACCGACAAATTTATACATCAAATTTCTCATTAAAGCAGGGAATGATTGTACTCTTGCCTTACAGAATAAATCACTTGCATTTTAAGAATGGAATGCTATCACATAACCTCTTCATCTTGTACTCTCTCTTATGTTTACAGCCACAAAAACCCCTTCCACCAATAAAGAGTCCTACACCCCCTCTGACTCCACCCTCCAAGCCTGCCCCACCTTTACTCACCTCTGTCCCTCCCTCGCCCTCTTCTGCCCTACCCTCTCCCACCTCACATCTGCCAGAGTTCCTCCTGCAGTTTGTGGATGAACAGTGGTTTCAAAAGATGTTTCCTGATCTGAGTGTAAGTTGAATACAAACACAATGAGCCTATCAAAAGGACTCTTCCGTTCAGACGTACTCTTTATAAAACAGTGAAAAAAATATACACTTCTCAATCTCCTTCTAATTTATGCATCATTCTCATTTATCCTTGCATGTGTTTGCAGTGTATTTCGAGTTCTTTAAGCCCCAAGGAATTCTGCAAGCATCTGTTGAACTTCATGATGACTTGCAGCATGGCTCAGAAGAATAGCATCCTGAATGCATTACTTATGCTAATACAGCAGGAGGTGTTAGACAAAGAATCTCTCAGCACAGGACTGCTGGTTTGCCTGGAAAACTACATTTACAAAAACATGGTAAATGAAATTGTGATATTAGAATAAATCCATAAGGCATAGCTGAAAATACATGTTGGAAGCAACTTCTTTAAAGTTTGGATTTCATGTATGAATACAGAGCATATAAGATGTATGAATTCTCTGTCAACACTACAGATGAGTTTATTCAATATAAGAACAGGTATGAATATGTGTTTTGCAGTCAAGGGAGGAACAGCATTTTGTCGGTGAGCTGCTTAATGTGCTGGTGTATCTGAGTCCTGACGGTTTTAACACCATTGTGGAGCTACTTGCCATTTTGGCAAATAAAGAAGCTGATCTTAAGTAAGGAATATTGCATGTTTAACACGATACAAAATACAATGTAAATGTTTTACAGTGGCCTACTTTAGTAGCAACTGCAGAACATCCCCAGTTATTGAAAAGTTGCTTTCATGTTTGTTTTTTTAGTTTTAAAGGGGTCATTGGATGCCCATTTTCCACAAGTTGATATGATTCGTTAGGGTCTTAATGAAAAGCCTATAACATACTTTGGTTAAAATTTCTCAATGGTAGTGTAAAAAACACACTTTTTACCCTGTCAAAATCAGCTCTGTTTTCAGCACGCCATTTTAGTCCATGTTGCTTTAAATGCTAATGAGCTCTGCTCACCCCACCCTTCTCTTCCGTGGGTTGATGAGCAGAGTGTAAACTTCAGCTGCGAAACTTGCTAACAAGCACGTTATTAGGAAAGGCGATTTGCAAAGATTCATAAAAAACCCTTATACTCACCACTTCTGTAGGTGAAGCTGGATCACGAATGATTCGCTGAACATAGACGCATTTAGGCAGATCGGGCATCAGCACATTCCATTCAAAAACGATAGCAACGTTAATCCTCTGCGTCTTCAGCGGCTCAGATGTCGGGAGTAAATGACGACTGCGATGTTCATTATTACATCCAACAACAAAACACCTCCATCGCTTAGGAGACATTCTTGTCTACCCCTGCACCGGAGTCGACACAATGACGGACAGCTCACTCAGGGCGGGTCTAAGGTAAAACACCAGTGTCAATCAACTATCGTGGGAGTGGCCTACGCAGAACTACATCATTCAGACAGGAATCTCAGAACGAGGTGGTCCTCACTGCAGAACACAAGATCCAGGGGGCGTGGTTGGATCCAGATCCAACTCCTCCCACCTTACATATACCTAAACCTATCCGTCTCCACCCCCTGATCCCTAAACCTACCCATCTCCACCCCTAAACCTACCAATCTCCGCCCCCTGGATCTTGTGTTCTGCAGTGAGGGGCTACTGCTCAGAACAGCCTGATTTGAGAAAGGGACTTTTAAAATAGGGATTTAAAAAAAAAAACACTGGGTGGATTTTTATCATTATAGGGTGGATGTGTACCACACTTCCAACACACATTTATGTTCAAACAACAATTTTGCATCCGATGACCCTTTTAACAAACTGTCCACCTGTTTTTAAAAAAACAAAACAAAGTGACACCCAATTGCCATATATATGCAGGAATTAACCATTCTATTATTATATCTTTGGCAGGACTTTAGTACTGTGTGTGCTGCAAAGGTTGGGTGTGGAGGAAGCTGAACTGTGGTTATGTCCAGAATTAGAGTCCTGGAACTCCCTGACGAAGCAAAAGCCTAACCAGCACCACAGTCTTCGAGACATGGCCAGCCACTGGCTGCTTACCTGGACCAGAAAGTACAAGGTATGGAGCAGATATCTGATTGGTAGAGATATTTTTGAGGAGAACAAGTATTTTATTTTAATTGTATTTGTATTGTGCTTCACAGGTGCACAGTGGGTCTGTGTTCCTACGCAGTAAAGGAATACAGAGTGTGGTCGCACCTGTGGAGGTGCTCAAATATTTCTGCTCTGTGCAAAAAGGCAAACAGACTCGACCACCACCACCTCCACCTCCACCAGAGGGCAGGAAAGATGCTGTCATCGTGCCTTCAGACTTGCCTAGGTGTGTCATACAAATACAGGGACTCCCACTATCATTTGGTTTTGTCTGTTGTATATATTTTAGTGAGCGTATTTAAAATGTATTGCAAATTTATCTCAAGAACCTTACATTCAAATCCAAAGTTTTTTTCCTCTAGTCTGTTCAGAAATAAGATGAACAAATGTTTAAAGAAAACCAGCAAAATTTGTCCTACTCAACCTCAAAAAGATCCTCATATAAAATACTGAATGCATCTGTGTTTAAATAGTTTGCATAACCAAGGAATGCTCTTTAAAATAAGTGTTGTCTGTGTTTAAAATGATCAGAAATGTATCTGTTTTTGTTTAGACTGAAGCCAATTCAGCGCCTGGGAGAGACGTACAGCATGTCTAGGATACGGGAGCCTCAAGGTTAGAATATATTTCAGTCAGACTTTCAGCATTAATTTGTTGAACACAGCTATCAATCTGTTATGCCTGTGGCACTAAAAGATGTTAAGGAGTTCGTTTCTAATGTTCAGTTGAAGTGGAAATCTAACTTATGCAGAAAAGCAGCCTCAAAGAAATATGGAAATGATTCTTTCACTCTGCAGTTTTGATGTCTGTGCTATACTGTAATTTAGTATACTGTACTGTATCCAAGGTTTTGTTTTATCAAGTCATCTTCATTATAAACCAACAGGACATCTGCTGCCACCATTGCCATATCGACCTGTGTTGATGGATTTCCCACGGTTCCTCTCTCTACCAATGGCTCATGTCACACTTTCTCCATTCCCCTTTTCCCTGGATTTTCAGAACTTCAAACACCCCTCACCACAAAGATACTTCTTCCTGGAACGCTCCTACGTACAATATTACAGATAGTTATTTCCAAAAGCATTGCATTAAATCTGTGATGGACTGTCTCTATGATGCATCAAATGACACAAATCTATGATCAAACTAACTTTATCATCTTGAAGTCTTTTAGTACATACTTGACTGTTGAATGTTTGAGACATATGGCTTGTTTTATTGTGAGGTACGAGACTCGAACCCGCAACCTTGGGTTACGAGTCCGACTCTCTAACCATTAGGCCACAACTTCCCCCATGATAAACTGATCATGATATACAATGATGGCATGATATACTGTTTGAACAACTCTAACCTAATCCTCTCCCTCTACCTGACAGACAGATAGATAAATAAATAAATAGATTAATTGCGATTATTTATTCCATTTGTTTTTGTTAATTATTTTATGGAGGATGTGATGCATCAAGGGTCATTTTGTAATCAAAATATTACCATCTGAACTGTAATCAAATCAAATTGTGAGGGCAGTGAAAATTCACACCTCCATTGCACAGAAGAATAGTTAATACAGAGAGAGAAAATAAAAATATTAAGAATATTCAAGAAAAGTTTTGGAATTGGATTGAATCATGAGATTCGATTTGCAGTATATTAATACTTAAGAAATAAGAAAATGACAGTAAATGTACCAAGACAATAATACTTGTATACGACAGGGCTTCTTCATTCAATATAGCCTTCTGACCATGTTTTACACTGTGCAACCACTGACAGTGACAAAATAATAAAAATTTGTACAAAATAAAAATGAAGTATTAAAATATTTTCCAGGACAAATAATTATGTCGAAAAACTGCAATGCAAAATTACTTTTTTTTTTGGTTGCATGGGAACCCTGTTAAATTCTGTGTCTGTGAACATTAATTAAACACCATAGTCATCAAAGGATAGTTCAACTAGAAATGGAAATATGTTTTTTATGAAGTCATAAAATCATATAGATTATATGGAATGACTTGAGGGCAGTTTTTCATTTTCCAGTAAATTTTCCCTTTAGGTCTTGATTTCCTTCATGAGACATTGAACACTGTCAGATTAAATTAGACTTGTGAGAAAGCAGATAAGATTGAAAAGTGTTTTACACCATAGAACATGAACATTTTACGATTTAAGGCAATAAAACCCATACATTACGCATAACACAGCAAACAAATACAAATTCAAAATCATTTCATGTGAGAAGCTGCATACAATATAATGCTAAGGTTTCCACTAGCAAGACTTTTTATATGACTGTGTATAAGCAGTATATTTTTGCTATTACTGAAAAAGCTTGGCAACCACAAGTAATTCCCCATGAGTGGTTAAAACAATCTGAAAATACTAGTTTAAGCATAGTTTGATTGTCACACATTATAAGAGAATGAGCTTTGGGACATTCACCCCCTAATCATCCACAGTCAAGTCTGGGCTATAGTTTAGAAGGTCGGAGGTCACAAGAAGGTCCCGGGATCGAATTTCAGAACCTCATCTAGCAACCTCAGCGTCATGTCCCTGCCCTCAGACTCCTCTAGCAGAGGCCAATCCAGCAGCTGCGCACTGGAGGGGAGAGCCGGCAGCCCAGGCTCATATTCTTCCAGTGGGTTGGGATAGAGCAGCAGACGAAGAGAAGGGATTCCTGCCGCTGTACGGGCCAGGGAAAGCAGTCCCGTTCTAGAGAGTGGGTTTAAGGCCAATCTTAAGCTACGTAAAGCCCGACAGCAAGACAGGGAGGGAAGAAGAGCACCCAGGAGAGTGAGAGGCCACAACCACAAAGTGAAAGCTGGCGCAGAGAGCTTTCGGCTTGAGCTAAGAGACGGCGCAGAGAGGGCAGGGACGATTCATCAAGCCAGTTCTCGCTCAGGTCAAATTCTCTCAGGAATGGAGCATGCTGGCTGCAGGAGAGGTAGACCAGGTCAGTGGAGGTCAGGCACAGGTATGGCAGCTCTAGCACCTCCATAGGCTGGGAAAGAGAGCTGCAAACAGGAGAGAGAAAATTTAAACATGCCAGGTCCACAGAAATGTTGCTTTCATACGGTTTTGAAAAACTTTCTTACATTTTCAAGCAGGCTGTCAAATGAATGACTCTAAAATATCAAACATATACCAAAAATATATAAAATAGTGTAATGTATTTATATCTCTATATTTTGCCCCCAGGATTCCTCTCTATGATATTAGTTTTATCACTTCTTTTTCTACATGCTGGTCAAATCTTATGAATTTTGTTGGTTGGAACACATAACTTGTTAAAACAAACGTTTGTTAAAACATTTTTGTTATTATTAGAAATATGTTTTCCCCAAAAATATCTACTGAGGCTTTTTTCATTGTAATATAATAACAAATGTATCACCCTGACATTTTTTGACAGTTTGAAATACAACCCCAATTCCAGAGAAGTTGGGACGTTTTGTAAAATGCAATAAAATCAAGAATCTGTGATTTGTTCATTCTCTTGAACTTTTATTTAATTGACAAAAGTACAAAGAAAAGATTTCCAAAGTTTTCACTGACCAACGTAAATGTATTTTGTAAATATGAACAAATGTTGTTTTTGATGGCTGCAACGTTCCAAAAAAGTTGCGACAGAGGCAAAATAAAAGTGAAAAGGCTATAGAATATCCACGTTAAACTGTTTTGAAACAGTTCACAGTAAGCAGGTGAATTGGTAATAGGTCAAGGTATCATGTTTGGGTATAAAAGGAGCATCTCAGTCTTTGCAAGCAAAGCTGGATCATGGCTCATCACTTTGTGCCAAATTTCACGAGAGAAGTGTCAAACAAATCAAAAATCACATTTCGCAATGCAAAGTTGCAAAGAATTTAGGTCTATCACCAAGTACCATACATAATATTGTGAAAAGATTCAGGGAATCCAGAGAAATCACAGTACATGTAGGGCAACGCAGGAAAAGGTAGTCAAAAAGACAGTGAAAATGTGTGCTGTACTCAGATGAGTCCACAATTTTAACTTGTTTCCGGGAAAAATGGATTTCGAGTTCTCAGTCCCAAAGACCAAAGGGACCATCCAGACTTTCATTAGTGACAGAAGCGAAAGCAAACATCTGTCACGGTATGGGGGTGCAGCAGAGCAAACAGCATGGGTGACTGTAATATGTGCAAGGGTACCATTGACATGGAGGCATATACTGGGATTGTACAGAGATATATACTGTCATGGGAAGTCCATGGTTGTTATATCAACACAATGCCAGCTCTCATTCTGCATGTGCTACAACAGCATGGTTTCGTAGATAGGGTGAATGTGCTAGACTGGCCAGCAGATCTGTCTCCTACTTAAAATGTATGGCTCATCATGAAAAGGAGAATCAGACAACAACAATCACAGACAGTGGAGCTTCTGAAGTCTTGTATCAAGCCAGATTGGACACAAATTTTGCTTGCAGAACTTTAACAATTACAGTATCCTCAATTCCTGATTGTTGTTGATGTGACCGTGTTAAACATGCCTCTGCCCCCAACTTTTTTGGAATGTGTTGCAGCCATCAAAATTTGTTCATATTTACAAAATACATTTACGTTGGTCAGTGAAAACTTTGAAAATATTTTCTTTGTACTTGTCAAGTACATAAAAGTTAAAGAGAATGAACAAATCACAGATTCTTGATTTTATTGCATTTTACAAAATGTCCCAACTTCTCTGGAATTGGGGTTGTAATTGTAATTACAATTTTATATACATTTAATTAATTTAAAAAATAATTTGCCTTTTGGCCTGCTTAATGCTTAGTTGGGACACTTAATATTCAGTAATATCATTGCAGCAAATCGAAGTAAATCACATAAAGCTGATTTACTGCTGAATCGAATTTGTTTATAATTGATTAATTTTACAACATCGACATGAACTGGATTTAATCAACATTAAACTGACAAGCTGGACAACAAAACTACTGTCTTCAGTTAAGCTGCTTATCACTGAATTGAACTTCATAATAAATAATTGATAAACTTTACGCAGTTATTAAACTGAAGTGATTAAACACTGAACTGTCTGGAGCTGAATAATCTTTAGTCTTTTTAGAGCTGCTTTACAGCAGAATTTGGATTTGTCATTATTTTGATGAAGTTTGCATCTCTGATTCTGTTTCCTCCCTGTTTAATACTCTGAAAATGTTTTGAAACAATTTCTGTTGTATAAAGCATTAAATAAAAAGGTGACTTGAAATCAGGAATTTAAAATATTAAAATCCTTACAGATTAGGTTTATTCATGATTGCATGTATTAATTGCATTTTATGAATAAATTAATAGATCTGGACCAAAAAATGTTCTTACTAAAATAATGAAGTGTATGTGTTGTAGGAGTGTATGAGTGGACTTGATAAACACAGCTGTTTAATCCGCGTGTATGAATGTACCTGAGCAGCAAGCGCAGGTGTCCTGGCAGTCGGAGTTCAGTCAGGCATAATCTCTTTAGTCTCTTCAGTGAACCCAGTCCTTTAGACATGTCCTGAAGTGCCCCATGCTGGCCAGGCTGTGTGCGCTGTAAATCCAAGTTACAGTAATGCAATCTCAGAGAGTGCAGCTGAGGAAAGGGAGCTAAAAGTGGAAGCAGCATAGCCAGGCCTGACACCCCAAGGCTGGAGTAGCGGATGTCCACACCGAGGAGATTTTGCTGAGGCAAGAGACCCAACAAGGAAGCTATGGAGGGCGCTGAGAGTTCCTCCACGCGGAGGTAGCGGCAGTGGAGCCGCAGTGGGCCCGGTTGACTAAGGGCATCACAGACACGCTACCAGGAACGGAAATTGACAAAAAGGTCAGCCCTGACATGGACCATAACTACCCCACCCCAGTCTTGGTCGCATAAACGACTGTTATTACTGCTGGTGTTTGATTTCCCCTCAGATAAAGTCTTTCTTCTCTGGATCTCCATCCTCCTCCTGACACCCTTTACTGACTCATCTCCTGGAAACATCCGTTCATTAGTTCTGCACTCCATCTTCTCTACTTCTTCCACTCTGTGTCCTCCCTGACTCCCTTCACCACTATCCCCGCACCCTACCTTGCCCCGGTCTCGCTTAATGGTGCCCCGGTCACGTTCTGCTTCCAGTCCTCTTTTTCTCTCTCTTTCTCCATCTCTCCTGTGAGCCCTGGAGGCAGCAGATCGAGCTTGTAGCACCATTGAGCAAAGGGCAACGCTGAGGGACCATCCACCCAT